GCTGGACGAGCTCGGCGACGTCGAGCAGACGCGACACGTGCGGCACGAGATTGAAGCCACCCGGGACGAAGCGGCACGAGGGCAAGAACTTGCCCGGGGCCTCGCCCAGCTGCTGCTGCTGCTGCTGCTTGAAGAAGAGGTGGCAGGGCCAGAGGTCGGCCTGATTGAGGGTGCGCCTCACCAGCTGGTTGGTCTGCTCGAAGCTCATGATGGAGCCGAAGGCCTGCACGAAGCCCGGCCTGACGCGGCTCGAGTCGAAGCCCACCTGACGGCAGACCGCCTCGATGAGCTGCAGGGTGAGGTCGATGTTGACCCAGTCCAACGTAGGTGGTCCCGTGCTGGGGTCGTCGTCCGCTGCAGCCTCATCGCTGTTGTTCTCGTCTTCGTCGTCGGCGCCGCGGACCAACATCTGTCCCAGGGTCAAGTCGGTCTCGCGCTCGGTGATCTCGACGGCGGCGTGATATCGCGCCAGGGTCCTCAGGCCGGCGTACAGATGATCGGCGGGCATCCGGGGCGGCCGCTTGAGCCACATGTACCAGCCCTGCTCGCGCAGCTCCTCGAACACGACGACGCGATCGTTGACCAGCAGGCGACGGGGGGTGAACGGCTCCGAGAGGCGACAGTTGGCCTCGAGGACGGGCATCAAGCTGGACCAGAAGTGGGCCTCGTTGTCCCACGGCACGAGGCTGCCGTCCTCTCCCCGCAGAAAGTCGTAGCGATCTTGGGTGCTGATCATCGGCCAGACGAGGAAGCGCATCACTTCGGGCCTCGTCTTCTCGTCCGGGTCCAGGCGGTAGCCGACTATCAGTCGGTAGAGGCGATTGACGACGCCGCCCTCGATCGGCCTCGGTATCGGCCTGGACAAGTAAGATATTATTTCGAGCTGTTTGCCCTCGAGCGTCAACACCTTCTCCATGATTTCCTTGATGTCGCTGCGGCTGAAGGGGTAGAACGACTGATCTCGCTGCGGTTGGGCCCTGGGCGCAGGTCGTATTTTCACCGGCTCTTTTTTCTCTTTTTTTTGCTTCTGCTCCTCGGGCAGCTCTTGTTCTTGTTCTTGTGGTTGCTGCTCCTGGAGCTGCTGTTGTTCTTGTTCTTGTTCTTGTTCTTGTTCTTGTTCTTGTTGCTGCTGCTGCTGCTGCTCCTGGGGCTGCTCTTGTTCTTGTTCTTGTTCTTGTTGTTGCTGCTGCTGCTCCTGGGGCTGCTCTTGCTCTTGTTCTTGTTCTTCTTGTTGCTGCTGTGGATTAGCCTCGGGGTCGAGGCGCGATGGATCCGATTCTGTGACCTCCATGATGACGACGACGACGACGATTTTCACTGCTCGACTTCGTACTGTACTATTATTTTTTGAATGGAAAATTGTAACGAAAACTTTGAAAATTCGTTTGTGTGTTTTGGTGAGCTAAGATACACCATAGCTCGTTGTGTGTATACAGGCAAGTGAGAACGATCGAGAGTATGAAACTAGCTGTATTAAGCAGGATAATTACGAGTAGGGAAATTCGAGTTTCATTTAATTGGGGGTAGGGATAGAACGAAAAATCATTGTTGACCTAATTTCGATGTATTCTAATATATTTGAACTCATATCACAGTCAACTTGTTTCAAACCTATACTAATATTTGTTGATGTAGTAATGGCAATGGCTTAAATTATTACAAGTAACTCGGTGGGGCTTAAAAGCAAATCGAATAACCGCTTAATTCGCAACGCACGATATGCCCTTTTTTGATAATTACCCATTCGCGTAAAAACATGATTTTTCGTCTTCTAATTTCCCGGGGTCTGGACACATGGGCAAGCAAAAAAGTCACTTTTTGTTGACGGAACTGCATTTAATTTTTAGATTCGACCTTATGTGAGCAATTCCACGAATTATCGGCCAAAACATGAAAAAATGTGCGAACATTAAAAATTTTGATTCTTCTTAATTTCTGTGAGCAATTGTTTTTTTCAATAAGTATGACGGGTAGCCCCGATGCGTTCACTCACTACACTGAGAAAAAAATTCATACATTCAATAAAATATTTAATTAAATACAATCTATGAAATAATTTCATTGAAATAATCTTTTTTTATTTTCATCCAATTAATTGTTTTACCAAAGTTTCATTGCTTCAATCAATCATTTGATTAAATTAATAGTAAATAAAATATTAAATTAGATTTCATTGAATCAATGAATTTTTTTTCTCAGTGTAGTGTAGGCTTTCTTGACAATCAATCTCGTACAAATTATTTTATTTCATAGTTGTATGTAATGTTACACGAGGACGAAAATTTTAATCACCATTCCCCCTCAACGACAAGCACAGTCAATCGCTCGAATTCGAGATCGTCAAACAGTTCGCGTCATATGATCCGAAAGAAATTCGATGACTTCTTTATGACTGCTACACAAAGATAAGCCGACGGTTACTTTTGTCTTCAAAGGACTTCTCGACCTATTCAGCTGCTTCTGAAATATTTGAAAATGTGTATGGGAACAATAATTTGAGTGATAATTGTTAACAACGCAGAATAATTTCAAATAAAATCAACAATTAGTACACTCCAAGCATTTCTCAATGAGTGAGAATGCGAGTGAAAGAACGATCTATTATTTCTCTTTCATCTTTTCGAATTTCTCATTTCTCATTTATAACTTAATAACAAATCAATAATAAATGTTATAAAATCTAAAATGAATGCAACAATCGGTCGATGTGTGTGAGTCGTCCTACTGACCACAAAAAGTCGAGCATATACTTTGTATATTAAAATTATTGAGAGTAAATGATTAACAAATGTAAACATTTTAAATTCATATACGTTAATAATGTGCAAGTATTGTGTTCGATAATATTTGATCATCTGCTAGAAGAAAAATGAGAGAGAAATGTCTTGACGGTTAAAAACCGCTGAACGAAAAACGGGCCAATACAAGCTCTCAAATAGCCATAAAAATTAAGCGCCGATCCAAGCTCAAATTTGTGCGTCTGCTCTATTGACTCGTACATCTAGACTTACTCTTGCTCCAGCAGTCCAGTTGTCGAGTTGTCCTAAAAAAGTGTCCAAGTGTTCTTTCTCTGTAGTGATTAACTGTGTTTAAAAGACTCGTTCACGTACAGCAGTACTTCGGCAATCTCAAAATGTAAGTCAAATTCAAACATAAATATTCTATTGTAAATAATTTTTAATCAAATTCACGATTCTGCCATTTTTTCTTCAACGAAATAATTGATTTTTTAGAATTCTCTAAACGGTCGGTTTAGGTAGTAATTTCAAACTCATAATTTCTATGAATATTTATTCTCCACGATAGCTCAGATATGCTATGTTTTTCAAGACTTTAGTGATAATTCAAAATGTGTGAAATTTTTCGCGCAAATTTCAAATCTGTGGAGCTGAAAACATCTAAAGATGACTATTTTATCAAAGCCACATTGCAAATTGAATATTACACAATAGTAGAGGTTGAATTTTTTTGTTCGAAATAAATATTTTATTGAAATCAAGTAATTTTTATTTAATAGATATTACTAAATATTTATTTTTTATTGTAATTACTTATTTGATTGAGGAAATTAAATTATTATCAGTTTTATGTTATGATAATATATTCGCAAAAAAATATTTTGTTGAGTATGATAAAATAAATTAAATATAATGAAAAAAATATTTAGTTTAATCAATTAAATATTCATCAAAATAAACTAATTTTCATTTAATGAATATTATTCAATATTCATCGTAATTATCATAATTATTTTTTCGTTCAACCGTCAAAGCGTTTAGGATATATGTATGTAATAATTTGAGGCAAGTTTAAAAATATTCTTAATAGTAACCGAAAAATTTCTAGTCCGGACGCTGGCTGGGTTTTCGTTTTCTTACGTTTCTATACGTACGTACATTTCTATACGTTTCTAGATGTATTTTGATGCGCTGAATCGATTTTTCGAGGTTGATTTTCTCGAATCAGGTGCGTTTAAAAGTTATAAACAAATTAATTGTTTAAACGGCCATATCTTGTAAAATATTGAAGATAGATTGAAGCAATTTGTTTTTATTTTATTTGTCTTTAAAAAACGAAGAATTTCAATTAAATTAATTGAAAATCCGTCCACTAGAAAAAAAGTTATACGATATTTAGTGCAAAATTACTAGAAATACGTCCTTTTATATCTTTCAACCCCCGTAACTTGGTTCGTATTAGTGCGATCGAGCTCATCGACGTCTCATTTTAAAGGTAATAACCTACACAACAATTCGGTATAGTTTTCATCCCAGTATAATTGTTTATAGGGCAATTATTAGCCGTTTTGAAACGTAATTTTATGACTGTCGCGTACTTTTCATTTGTTTATACGCGTTTTTCGATGGGATAAATTATTATAATAACGTAGCCACTTAGTACAAATGAAAGTACGTCAAAAAACGAAAATTTTGAAGACGTTCCAAAAGGTAATCGATCAAGTAGACGCCAAGTTACAACCTTTTGAACTTGGGCATAGAAACGAGCGGGCGTTAAAAGTTAGGACACAAGCTCAAGTAACGTGATCTACCCGCTTATATTACCGCGAAATTAATATTTAAATTAATAATATTTTTTTAACTTTTATATTAAGATTTTATAGAAAAAAATTAATTTTTTTTATTTTTACAAGTGTTATTTACATTGCACGAGCAGAAATCCAATTCCGCTTCAAGACAGAAATAATGTTATGTGCTAATTTTACAATTGAAATACCTATAAAATCTTAATATAATAAGTGAAATATCCGTAGCGATAGTATGCGATTGACTACTGCGAGCGAACTGTCATCCGAGCGTTAGAATTAAGCGGTAGTCTCATGCGTTAGAATAGGTAGAAATTAATTTATATCTGTGGTGGAAAGGCATAACGACTTAAGTCCATTTTTCGTAATTTCGAGAAAAACGCGTTTTAAGTTGATTGTGCCAGCCTAACTAGACGCGGACGAGTTGAGGTATGAACCTATGATGTTTTAAGCTACTATGAGGTAGCTTTTGAACTATGTACTTATGAAATTGAAAGGCGCATCATAGCGATGATAGGGAGCAAAAAATATGGACTTAAGTCGTTTTGCCTTTCCACGGTTTGCACTTAAGTCCACTTTTGGCGGTCACACTTTTTTCAATATCGATAATTTCGCGCAGTTTGTTCGCACAACCTCATTTAATGATTTTACATTGATAAGATAGCTCATTTAACGTTATACTGCCGTCAGATCTCAAATCTTGCAATGAAAAAAGGCCAAACTGAAAATCGAGAAAATTGCCCCTCGCGTATCAAATGTAACAATCATATAGTGTAATTCACAACATTCGAAGAGTGTGGAGCTATGTTTAACATTCTAATATCATTTTCTTTCATTTTCAAATAAAATTAGACTCTCTATAGCATTTTGAAACTCGCAAGGGTGGACTTAAGTCGTTTTGCCTTTCCCCAGTCTTCGCGAAATGGACTTAAGTCGTTATGCACGATGCTGCAACTAAAGCTAGACGCTATATTCGTCTATTCTGACCCTTGTACATTAAAATAGACACTAAATATAGACGTTTTTCATCATAAAATCGATTTTCAAAAAAATGGACTTAAGTCGTTATGCCTTTCCACCACAGATATATACCATAGTTATTAAGATTGTTCATTAATTATGTAATAAACTAATTAACATATAACATACATACGATGTGATCATATGATAACTTCAACTAAATATTCAATTAATTTCTCTCCCCTCTACAGCCGGAACGAAAAACGATTCGCTTTCAAATGTACCACACTATGTTAAAGACATCACTTCAAATTATTTTTTAATAATTTATTAGATTCACTAGTATATTTTAATCAACACGACCAAATATTTTTTCGCGACACCAAATTAATTAATCATATATAATACATATTTATTTGAATTAATGAAATATATTTTTGCATTCAAAAAAATATTATATTCGATCAAGTAAATATTTGTTTGAAGTAATGAAATTATATTCTTAATATAACCATAGATTCAATTGAAACAATTAATTTATTCTGCAATTCAATGAAATATTTAGTTACTTGAATTAGATAATTATTTAATTTACTTAGATATTTATTTGAATCAACTAAATCATCTAACTGAAACAATTACATATTTTTCTTTTAATCAAATAAATATTTAATGAGCGACCCGCAATTAAATTATTTCATTGAATAAATTAAAAATTCATCGATTCAATTAAACTTTTTTCTCAGTGATGTTATAATACTTTAATGATAAGTTTTAGAGCGATTATTTATAAAACACGATTTTTCAACAGGGTGAAGGAAGAGGCGAGCGATACCTTGACGACCGCAGGTGACGATTATGATCTCGATTCGGTAGACCCCTGCGAACCAGAAAACTCTGAAATATTACCATTTTATGAATTATCAGTGAGTTGAATGATTTAAATTATGTTTTTATGATCTACGGCCAAAAATTAGCCCATAATTTTAATTGCAGGCAAAACACGTAAATAAAGCTATGGCGTCACACAAAAGTTCAGATGAAAATGTATTTATAGATTTCGAGTGCAAAGATGTAAAAGTTCAACCGACGTCTTTATCAGCAACCATTTGCAAGTCCGAGTATCAAAATGTTCAATCTGTTGTAAAAATAGAAAAAGAAAATCCAATCAATGATGTAGAGGAAAATATATTAATAGACTTTGAGTGCAAAGATGTAAAAGTTCAACCGACTTCTTTATCAGAAACCATTCTCAAGTCCGAACATAAAAATGGTCATTCTATTGTAAAAATAGAAAAAGAAAATCCAATCAATGATATAGAGGAAAATATATTAATTGACTTTGAGTGCAAAGATGTAAAACTTCAACCGGCGTCTTCAACGGACACCATTTGCAAGTCTGAGTATCAAAATGTACAAGCTATAGTAAAAGTAGAAGAAGAAAATCCAACCAATGATATAGAGGAAAATATATTAATTGACTTTGAGTGCAAAGATGTTAAAATTCAACCGACGGCTTTATCAACAACCATTCACAAGCCTGCGTATCAAAACGTTCAAGCTATAGTAAAAGTAGAAGAAGAAAATACAACCAATGATAAAGAGGAAAGTATATTAATTGACTTTGAGTGCAAAGATGTTAAATTTGAACTCGAATCTCAATCAGCAGCTACCTGCAAATCCGAGTATCAATATTTTCAATCTGATGTGAAAAAAGAAAACGAAAGAAATCCGATCAATGAAATAAGTCCAATAATTTTAATAAAGAGGGGTTTTAATTATGACAATGATTGTCAATTTAATGAGAACTCCTATTTGAAACCGGCGGAAAATAAAAAGTTAAAAAATTTTCATAATATCGTTGAAAAAAAATCACCATTACAGTCGAAAGTGGGCCAAACGAATGAATTAATAGAAAGTCCAAAGAAGCATACCAATATCATACCGAGCAGGAGAAGAACTAGACTGGATGAATGTAAGATTTACAATAAATCATTTTCTCGCAAAAGTGTTGAAAAAAAACACATTAATACAGTACATAATCAGAGCAAACCCTTTAAGTGTGACATTTGTGACAAATCGTTTAGACAAAAAGGTATCCTTACATCTCATATACATGCAGTTCATGATCGTATTAAACCCTTTGAATGTGAGATTTGTCACAAATCATTTGGATACCAGAGGTTTCTCAAGAAGCACATAACTGTAATACACATGCGGATCAAACGTTTTAAGTGTGAAATTTGTCCCAAATCGTTTTCAGACAAGAGATGCCTTGAAACACACCTGAATGCATTACATAATCAGAGCAAACCCTTCAAATGTGACATTTGTCACATATCATTTAGATGGAAGCATAATCTCAATTCTCACATTAGTGTAGTACACGACCGGAGCAAACCCTTTGAATGTGACACTTGTCATAAATCATTCGCACAAAAAGGTAACCTTACATCTCATATACGTACAGTTCATGATCGTATTAAACCCTTTGAATGTGAGATTTGTCAAAAATCATTTCCAGTCAGGAGTCAACTCAAGAATCACATAAATGCAGTACACATGCGGATCAAACGTTCTGAGTGTGAAATTTGTCACAAATCGTTTTCCGGCAAGGGTTACCTTAAAAAACATCTGAATGTAATACATAATCAGAGTAAACCCTTCGAATGTGAGATCTGTCATAAATTATTTGGGCAAAAACCTAACCTTAACTTTCACATAACTACAGTTCATAATCGTATCAAATCGTTCGAATGTGAGATTTGTAAAAAATCATTTGGATGCAAGGATCATCTCCAAAGGCATATAATGACAGTACATAAACGAAGCAGACCCTTTGAATGTGACATTTGTCACAAGTCATATGGTCGCAAGGATCACCTCGTTTCTCATAAAAATTTAATTCATGTTCGTAACCACTCCTTTGAATGTGACATTTGTCAAAAAACATTTGAATACAAGTACATATTAAGAAGTCACATTATAAAAGAACATATTGGCAAACCCTTCGAATGTAAGATTTGTCATAAAAACTTTAAAAAAAAAAGTTTGCTCAAAAGTCACCTAAAAGCAGCGCATAATTCCAGCAACCCCTTCGAATGTAATATTTGCCACTTTAGAGTTAGCCAAAAAAATAAACTTATAACTCACATAAACCTAGTTCATAAACAAATCAAACCCTTTGAATGCGATATTTGTCACAGAACTTTCGGATACCAGAATGTACTCAAAACACATATTATTACAATGCACGAACGTATCAAACCCTTTAAATGTGAGATTTGTCATAAAGCATATGGGCAAAGTACTACTCTCAAAAGGCATATAAATTCAGTTCATATGCGTATCAAACACTGCTAGTGTGATATTTTTAAAAAGTCATTTACATGCCTGAATAAATTCAAAAGGCATAATATGATATAACGTAATCGGAACAAACCCTGCAGTGAACGCAATAAATTTGCACTTGTGAGATTTTTTACAAATCATTTTCACGCAGAGGTGCCTTCAAAGTTCATATAAATGTAGTACATTATCGTAGCAAATTATTCCAATGTTATATTTGTCACGAATAGTGTAGCAGCAAGTATGCCCAGTTATGAAATTTTATAATAAGTGTAATATAATAATATGATGGAAAAAAACTTTTAACTTAAACATTTTTCAATTTTGTGAATAAAATTTATGAAGTTTTAAAATATAATTTAAACGATTTGGTATTGGATGTAATCAATTTTTTTTATTGTGGTACATAAACTAATTTAATAAATAAATGAGCTTTGATTTAAATTTGTTTATTTGATTATCCCTTTGTGTTTCATTTATGTTTACCTTTTGCTTAGGATAATGCCACGGATCGAATACTCATATTTACGTGGAAACGTGATTTTTCGAAGAAATAAAAAATGATCAAAATTCACGAATTTTCTGACTTTTCCGGGATCGCACAAAAAACAGTTGTCCACACTAAAATTGGCCGCGTTTAACGATTAAAATTATAATCTCAATTTTAATCTCGAATTTTTCCTATAATTTATAGAACGGCTCGTATATATAGTTCAGACCTTTAATCGCTCGAGGTCGATCGATGCCTTTCTTTCCAGCTTTTTTTACTCTTCCTCGATAGAAATTAGATTTTCCGCGGCTGCCCTCGGTGGAAGGAAAGAAGAGAAGTAAGAGATACGAATCCGAAACGGTCGCATACATTGTGTTTATTTTTAGAGCTCTTGATTCATTTATATTGTACCTGAAGGTGAATCGATGCCTCCGATGCTTTTATATATACACTCAATTTACATTGCAAAGGTTGACGATATCTCGACGTTCCCCGAGAGAATTCCTCTCTTCTGTCCCTCCGTATCTCTCTTAAAAATGTAAAAATTGATTCGTACTTTAATATGCTTTCAAGTTCTTTTAGTCCGAAAAATCCGCATCAGGAAGTAAAAGACGAAAAACCCGACTACACATTTTTCTCTTTTATTTATCTCTCTCTCTCTCTCTCGGATCTCTGCGACGACCAGTTTAGCCGTTAAGATAAATCTGTGCGCGCGGAGAACCGCTGCGCCAAATAAAAAAAGATAAAGGAAAACTCGAAAAATTCCTCTTATGAATATATATACGGGCGCGCGCACTGTCTCGAGGATTTTCGCTTATATTATACTCTCGGGTCGGTATAAAAAAAAAAAAAAAAAAAAGAATGAACGTCTTGATAAAACGCAAGGTCATCGAAATCTTTACGATGTCCTAAGAGACTAAAAGCTGAGTGGGAACAATAACGTATATTAAAGTTTATTATGGAAATTGCCCGCGGTAAACGAACCCCAATTGATTTTTATCAATTGGTACGTATTGAGACGTACATTCGATTATCCGCAATAAAAATTATGACGATTCGAGCAATAAATTACATACACCCTCGCCACATTATGCGCGGGATTGTCGTGGATGATTAATGGATTTTTATATCGTATCTTACGTACGCGTATTTTTGTATCGCATATTACATATTATCCTCACACACACACCCGCGAGAGAGCGACTGCAAAAATTCGAATACCCGTCGAAACATTGTAACGTTTTGCGCGTATGCGTAATAAAAAATTCACGTCGCGTAATTAATCACTTTACCCGCCCCCCCGAAACTCGTTGCGCTCGCAGGGACAGATTCGTTCGTGTCTTTTTCACTTGGCTCTCGTCCTTCTGTGCATATATATAAGCTCCGTTTTCTGTCGCAATTCTCTCTCTCTCTCTCTCCCTCGCTCTGTAACAGATTTCCCTTCTATATCGCGGCTACACACACACACACACACACACATGTAAAATGTACACTCGTGAAAACGACAAAACGTGTACGTAAGTATACACATACAAATATGCCTGCCGTGCGCCGGGAGATTTTCGTCGGCGCACGAAGCGCAGCTACAGCTGCAGCTGCATCATCATCGCTATCTGACGTAATCCTACCGTACACATACAGATACGAACAATGTTGCGCATATATGAGCAGTTCTTTAAATAAAACGCATTTTTTGAGGTAGAATCGCGGCAAATTTTTTTTTCCACCTACGCGGATACGGACCCCCGGGAAATGTTTTTGGGGGTCCTAGGAACATGTAACCACGTAGGAACCATTGAAATTTCAATAGTGCTTATTTTCAGAGCTACTTTTGTGATTTAGGGCCGAAAAATCATGTTTTCTCGTAAATACGGCTAATTACTCAATTTCTAAGTTGCTGAAAAAGTATCAAAACTCATCTAAAAAAAATAACTGACTGCTGTGTTCAATAGGAAATTTTCTCAGCTTTCCAATGGTGGTGTCAGATTTTCCGATAAGTCGCACATTCACCGAGAAAATCGCCATCAAACATTCCAAGCTAAATATCTCGAAAAACTCGGTACGGAAAAAGTGATATTTGAGGTTTAATTTCGATTTTTCCTCGTGAAAATGAAATTTATCGAAAAATCTGACCACGCTATGAGAAAGCTGAGGAAATTTCCAATCGAAAACATATCTTCATTTATTTTTTCAGTGGAATTACGAGCTAGTTTTGACTGTAGCGAGCCGAAAACCTCGCGATCGCGCTGAATCAGCTCGGAAACAGAAAACAGCGAACAAAGTAAAAGAAATTCCCATGTATAACATTGTAATTCGACTCAAAAAATAAATGAAGATATTCTTTCGATAGAAAATTTCCTCAGCTTTCTCATGGTGCAGTCAGATTTTCCGAAAAATCTCATTTCCTACAGAAAAAATCAAAAATAGGCATCAAAGATCACTTTTTCCGTACCGAGTTTTTCGAGATATTTAGCTTGGCATGTTTGATGGCGATTTTCTCGGTGAATGTGCGACTTATCGGAAAATCTGACACCACCATTGGAAAGCTGAGAAAATTTCCTATTGAACACAGCAGTCAGTTATTTTTTTTTAGATGAGTTTTGATACTTTTTCAGCGACTTAGAAATTGAGTAATTAGCCGTATTTACGAGAAAACATGATTTTTCGGCCCTAAATCACAAAAGTAGCTCTGAAAATAAGCACTATTGAAATTTCAATGGTTCCTACGTGGTTACATGTTCCTAGGACCCCCAAAAACATTTCCCGGGGGTCCGTATCCGCGTAGGTTGAAAAAAAAATTTGCCGCGATTCTACATTTCTACCTCAAAAAATGCGTTTTATTTAAAGAATTGCTCATATATCATAATAAAAATATGGTATATTCACTCGATACTCGCCGGCTTCTATGCGGATTACAGTCAGAATCGAATGTAGGCCAGAAAATTCATACATAAGGATGCATTCATCGAATTTTGTACGACGATATAATAAATAATAATAATAACGACTCGTGAAAAGTAACGAATCGCGTGGATTAATGATACCTCGTAATGCTGCGTGTATATTCAAAACAATGAAATCCGTCGGTATAATAACGCCGAATGATTCAAAGGCGCGAATTTATATACACAGACACGTGTAGCGCACCTTTTATATATATATATCAAAGCTCGCGCGCATTCATATTTAGTATAGAGAAATATTTGCGATCGCCAACCCACGCGCGCACCCAGTGTATGTATAAGTATGAAAAAGGCACGCACAATCGCGTTCGCTGTGTATATACATTTTTATACGCGCATATTGTGTCTGACTCATTGTGCAAGCTCTCGCGAGCCCGAGTCTGATCGAAACATTTTAGCGATATCGAAATACCGATCCGTATTCGTTCGTTATACGCTTCGATTCTCTTTCGCGCCCTGAATATCATTTCATTCATTTGTATTTATGTATAAAAATAAACTCGAGGGCAAAAATTAAGGAATCTTAGCGAGTTTATTTTAAGAATCGCACGCGGTACGATCGCTGCAAAATTAAACGACGAGTTTATGCGTTACGAGCACGAGAGACCTCCCGCTGATACATAATAATACGTACACATACACGTACTGCGCATGGATCTCTGCAGTACACAGAGAAAAGAGGTAAAAGTGTGCCCATGATGTGCGCCGAGCAGAAGCGCACCGGAGAGACACACGCGATACATCGCCGCAGCCGAAAATTCCGCAGGGTATGAGTAACAAAAAGCAAGAGAGAGAGAGAGAGAGAAAGAGAGAATCGCGAGTTTACTGCACCGCGTTGCACATAGTGTACGTGCGTACGTATACGTAAGAAAAAGGAGAGTGTGTGACTGTATATATATGATAGTGTACGTACACTCGAGCGCCGGGTACATATACACATACACACGTATAATAATAAGAGAGCTCGGGGGGCAGTGGGCAATGCACTCGGGTCCGCGAGGCGCATAAAGG